TTATTAGATGTAAGTACACCAACAATATTTAAGAAATACTTAATAATATTATTGCAATAAGCAGCTAATACTAATAATCCAGCATTATAAAATAATTAAGTATTAGCTGATCTATTAGTTTCATCATATAAAGCCATAGCTCTATAATAGTAATTATTGATAATTTCAGTTGCAACATTTTGTCCAATAATAATAATAATCATAAAAACAGGTTTCCAGAATAAAAAATATCTTTTATATGTTTACCAACTTGCATCTGTCTAATTTAATTCTTCTTTTGAAAATAATTGTACAGTTTCTTTTTTTTCTACTTTTTCTTATTATTTATTAAGTAGAGTAGCTAATCTAGTTTATTTTCTGACTAATTATTTTTTAATAGGTTCTACTATAGAAGAATTAAATAAAGCTAAACTTTCTTTAACTTATTTATAAGTACCTTGAGTAATAATAGTACCTTTGTCTAATATAATTACATAATCACATTCTAAAGCAAATTAAATTTAATGTGTAGATAAAATTACAGCAGGAATTGACATTTAAAATACTTAATGATATTTATTATGTTTTTCCTATTAATATTATGGTTAAAATTTAAAAATAAATTCTTTTATAGCATATGTAAATATCTTTCTAGCTACTTTAGAATCTACTGCTGATAATGGATCATCAAATAGATATAAATCTGCCAATGAATATAATGCTCTTGCTAAACTTAATCTTGCTCTTTAACCTCCTGATAAATTAGCACCTTTTTCACCAATTTAAGTTTTGTCACCATCTTAAAATGATAATACATCTTAATCTAAACATGAAACTTGCATTACTTTCCTATACAATTCAAGTTCAAATACTTTTCCAAATAAAATATTATCTCTCACTGTTCCTGTATAAATAAATGGATCTTATTCTACAAAAGCTATACTAATATTCTTTTTAACTGAAAATTCTCCATCAATTTAAGGTAATTCTTCTAATATTCCTGATAAAAGAGTAGTCTTTCCAGATCCAACTCTACCTATCAATCCAATTAATTAACCTGGAAATACTTCCATATTTAAATCTGATAATACTGGAAATGATCTTGCCTTCCATCTTAATCCTACTTCACTCATTGTTACATATGGTGTTCTTTTTATAACAGAACTCTACATCTTTACTTAATTCCTTTCAGATTCTTTTCCATTTACATGAATTGTATTTGATTTTCTTATTACACTACCATTTTCAATGCTTGTTAATATGTGTCTTTTCTTTTCACTCATAGATGAAGGTGAAGTCATTATTTAAACAACTCTTTAAAATATTACATTTAAAGTCATAAATGCTTAAAATGCATATGATACCTAAAATACACAATAATATTTGATCATAGACATTAATTAAATTGTTCCTATAATTGATGATACATCAATATATATATCATTAAAGTAAATTATTAATAAGAATAGAAAAGATCCCCAAATGTGTACACTATAATTAAATGATCTATCAATAAGATTTAAAAAATGAATCTTGAAATAACACATTACTTCCTCCTTTCTCAATTATTGTATCTTATCAGAAAATGCTTTTTCCCATACATACATTTTGATTAATCTTATACCTTCAATTAATTAATTTTAAGATGTAATTCTATTATCTTATTTTTATTTAGCTCTTGTTAAAACTCTTTAAACTTGTTTTTGAATAAAAACTTACAATGGATAGATTATTATACATATTAAAATAGCAATCAAACCAATTGGACCATCAAATCTTAACTAAATTAATTTTATAAAAATACCCACAAAATAACTGATGCAAATATAATTGAACCTGGTATGATAGCTAAAGAATAAACAAAATTCAATTAAAATTCAATAGCATTAATATCACCACTAACCAAATTCATAATTTTACCCATATTAAGTTCATTTATTTAATATGCTTTTAACTTTAAAATTCTATCAAATACAAAATTAGTTAAAATCATTCTCATTTTAGTTGAAAAATTATTAATGATATACAATTAATAATGTTTACTTATTAAAGCTATCAATGATAATAGAGCTAATATCATAGCCTAAATAAATGCATCCTATTTATCTCCATTTTTAACTGCTGCAATAAGAGTTTATGTTAATATAGACATTATAAATCTAGAATATGTTTCACTCATTGCTAATAAAACAATTTTTAATGTCAACCATTTATTGTCATGAAAAAAAAATGTTCTAAATAATGAAAATGATGTTAATTATTCAGATATCTATATTAAATTAATTATAATATTACTTTTAAATTAAATAATTTCTTAGCTTTTTAAAAATTAGGTTAAATTGTATCATCTTCATCTTATTTAGGAAGATGAATAAGACTTAGTTTAATTCCTTATTATTTAATTAATTTTTAAGCAGTCTTCATAAAATTAAATATATGTATCAGAAATATTTAGGAAAGAAATGAATAATTCTCATAAATTGTATTTGGATAAAATTCTTATGGTTTAAGAGATGATTATATATTTTGTGGTTCAGGAACAATTTTATTACTTTTATTTTTAAAAATTTCTAATAAACCTTATTCTGTTCTTTAAGTTTATTCTACACTTGTTAATTAAGTATTATGAGGTAATTATTTTAAAATAGCTTAGTTTTCTTATTTTTAATAAGTAGTGTCTTTACTCATTATACATTAATTTTCTTGATAATTTTCATCAATTTATTCAGACGGTTATGAAATTGGTACATTCTATTCCAAATTCATCATTTCGTTTCTGTATATTTGATTAAAATCTATATTATTAGAGGGAGAATCATCATCAGAAAGATCTTCCTTCTCTTTCTCATCCTGAAAGTTTGTCATTTCCTTTTACATTGTTTAAATTACAGTTTTAGAATCATTATCTTGATGCTGCTAAATTAAAAACAAATTTAACTTGATCTTCTATAATAGAGTTATCAATTTTCTAATCTATTCTTGCGAATACAGATTTTTTAGCAAATTAAGACAAATTATCTTTGTTTTTCATTATTGGTATTTTTTAAATTTAATCTAATTCCTTAATTTTATTAACAAAATTAAATAGTTACACCTATTACGTTGATATTGCATTTTTTTATTAATTATACTCTAGTACAAAAAAATTGAATAATAAAACATCATATCATAAATTAAAAATTCGACTAGGTTTTATTATAAATAAATTAAGTTTATAGATTTAGAATAAAAAAAACTTAAGTTTCTATCTTAATAATGATTATCAATATTAATAATAATTTATGACTTTATTCAAAATATACAAATATTAAAAATCAATTAGAATATACGTTTAGCTTTGTAATTTTTGGACTTAACTATATTTAATTATAACAAATAAAAGAGTTTTTTAGGATATTATGTTATTAAATCCTAAATTTATTACTACTTTGTTTTGGCTATTTAAATATTGTTCTTTAACTACTTGATGTTTTTAAAATACTATGTCTTATACAATCATCTTTTAGAGGAGGACTACCACATCTATAAGTGATAAATGGGTTTATAGAAATTTCATCAGAGTTTACAAAGTGACTATTACTTCCAAATTGTCTATTTTAACATTCAAGAACAGAAGGACTTTTTTATCTTAAATTTAAGGTTGAATCTTTTAATCCTCTATGAGATTTAAGAAAAATTTAAAAGAGTCCATTAGTTTATGGTGTAATTTATTAATTATTTTATTTTCTTCTTTATTATTCTACAAGATTGTCCATTTTCTATTATATCATTTGATTCCTTGTCTTATTATTGAAATTATTAAATTTTTAATTTTTACTAAATTTAAATGAAACCTAATTTTATTAAATTTCCCATTCTTCATCCACTTCTGTTTTATTTTAGAAAAATCTTGGGTATTTAAGATGTGTTGATTACTCCTAACTTACTTTATAATTAGCATAAAAATTAATTTCATTTTTATATTTGTCTAGATCTTAAGAATATGATTCAAATATTTTTTCAATTAATGAATTTCTGTGTATTTTATATATCAAACCTTTTGAAGATAAACAAATAATAGAATATTCATAAGGGATTTTATTATATAAATGATAAAATCCAAAAACTTACATCTCTCCTATTTCAAATAACTAAAATAACATAAAAATTATTACAATTAATGGTTAAGATTTATTTTTCTATTTTCTAACTTAAAATAAACCTTATTTGACTATAAGAAAACTATCAGACTTTTCACCTTCTTAGACTACTACTTGATTTTTTTCATATTCATACAAAAATGAATTCAAATATATCGATGTTAATTATGTTCGATTCAGTTAATTAAAAATTGAAATTTGAGAAAAAAAATCAATATTCTAAAATATTTAAGATAACTACTTGTTCTATCTTTTTAGTTTATTCATAATGTAATATCTTTTAAAATTATTATTTATCCAAAATAGCAAATATGCAATCAGTGACACATCTTATAGTCGCCAATCTAGGTTGTTTATGAATAAGTGCTAATTCACCAAAGGATTCTCCTTTTTTAAGGATTCTAACAGATTCTAATTCATCAAATCCTCTCCTTCTTATTAAAACTTCTACCTGTCCATCTAAAATCACATAAAATTTTGTTCCAATTGTATCTAATTGATATTGATATTAATACCTAAATGAAAGACAACTTCACTTTATTAGAATTTTTCAATAAACATATACTTACAGCACTCTCGATGAATAAGTAAACCATTATCTTGCTTTTAATACTACTTAAAAAATGGTAGTTCTTAGGTCATTTAGACTAATAGATCTATTTCTGCTTTGCATCTATGTTATGGTTACTTTTTAAGCAAATGTAAAGTATCTGTAAGATGAGAATCCAGCATTTTACAAATTTTAGTTTATTTATTAAATTAATTAAATAAAGTTATACTGCAATGTTATTTTTAAAAGAATAAGTCTTAATTAAGAATGTTCATGATTTAGGCATTAATAATATACATTGAATGTAATATATAAACGCATAATAAAAATCATCATATTTTTTTTATTGCTGGTCTTTAATTATTTTCATTTCTGTAAATTTTATCACTAACTTTTCCAAATTTTGCATCATATTCATTCATAAGAGCATGGATTCTTAATGGTAGATTTTTCATTGTACCTAATTACTTTAATTATTTATATTTTGGTTATCTATCTATTATATAATAATCTAAATTACCAATTTTTTTGAACCATTCAAGTGCATCAATTACTTTTTCTTCATCTGCTAATAATATTGCTGTATCAAGATAATTTGAAACACTTTAAAATGTAGGTTACATTTTAGTACTGACAATATCAAATATTCTGAATAGATCTAATAATCTTTTTTCAATAAATAAAATTTCTAGGAAATATAATTGAATATTACTTATAATTTATTCATAAGTAAATTGATCTTTTGGTATTTAATATTAATCATATAATGGTAATACCTAACCTTCAAGATCAGGTAATCTATTTGCTGCTACCATTAATTCACACATTGAATTTAAAGTTCTTGAAGATATCATTTATTTTGAAGCTGCTTCATTAAATATCTTCCATGCATCTTTAATATATTCATCAACAATTTTATTATCTAAATTTGGTAATGAACAAGCTCCTATATATACTCTAATAATTTAAGTATAGATATATTTATTAGGTGTAATTTAATGCTATTTCATTTATTTAATGACTTCATGAGCAATTTTAACATCACCACATTAAGAACATGCTTTTAAAGTACAAACTATAGTATCTGAATCCATTTAAACAGAAGTCATAACCATTTTTCTATAATATTCTAAAGCTTTTTCAGCATACTAATAATAAAAGAATAAATTTACATCTTTTCTTGAACCTAATGCTTTTATAATAGAATTATAAATATAGGTAGTGTCTCTAAATTCCATTTCATTCATTTAGTCATATAATTAAATGGCTTTTTCAGCTTCATGTGTCTAGAATAAAATATAATAAATAGAATTTACATCTGCACATATTTCAATCATTAATCCAATTAGATTTTCATCAGGTTTTAGATGGGATTCCAATCTGGCTTCATCAAATAGATCCCAACATTTCTTCCATTGTTTAACTCTATAGAATGAATTAATGAGTGTTGTATAGATTGGTAGGTCTGGCTCGAATCCATCTCTTTTTAGATCATTAAATATTCTCAAAGCATTTTCAGATTAAAGGTTCTTGCAATAGACATTTATCAATGTATTATAGAGATGCAAGGAGGATCCAAATTCTCAATAATATTAAGTAATACATTTTTGTGCTATTTGATAACAAGCTTCAGCTTTCTCCACATTTCTGAACTTACCATATGCATTAATAAAGCACATGTGTGTTTATAGATTTGGTTTAATTTTGAGATTAGCCATGAATTATTGTATTTCATCAATTTAATCAAATTTATTTTATGCAACAATAGCTTATAATAAGAAATTAATAGATTTGATGTCTACACTACGTTTTTAGAAATAATTGGTCAAATTTGTATCAATTTATTTAAGTATATGTTAAGGTTAATAATTTTCAAGGATGCTTTATTTAATATTATCTTCATCATTAATTTTATAAAATAGTTTCTTGACTTCTTTGAATTCTTCACTTTCTTTTATTTACTAAGACTTTTGAATAGGAGCAAACATAGATTTGATTGTTTGTTTCTTTGCAAATTAGGCAATTAGTTTTGTATGAATTATAAACATAAATTAAAATAATTTATAAATGCATAGAAATCTTTAATTTCCAATCTTGTTTTATATGAATTAAGATATCACTATATAAGTATAGGATTATTAAAATGAAATAATTGAATATATATACTTTAAATAAAAATAAATAATTAATTAATGGAGCAGCTCAAATAACAAATCCAAGAATAAGTGGAAGAATAAGATATAGTTGAGGATTTAAATATTGAAGGTGTGAAAATCACAAAATTCACTGAGGAAATGGCTGCTCTTTTTACTCAGCATTAATAGCTTCTAGGTTTAACATTTGAAAATTGTGGATTAACTACTCTTGAAGGATTCCCTAAATTAAAGAAATTATAAAATTTAGAGTTAGAAAACAATTCTTTAACAGGAACAGCAATTAAATTTATATCAGATAATTTCAAAGAGTTACTAAACTTGAATTTATCACAAAATAATATTAAGTCTGTTGATGTAATCATGAAGAATAACATGATAGGATTTGAAGCCATTAGCCACACTAACCAAATTAGAATCATTAGAATTGATAGATAACCCTTTGACTAAAGAAGCAGGATATCATAAAAAGGTGTTTTAACTTATTCCATCCCTTAAAGTGTTAGACAATAAAAATGAGAAAGGTGAGGAAGTTCTCGATGTATTAAAATTATATTTAAGAATTAGGATGAAGATGATGATGATGAATTTGATGAAGATGAAGATGATTCATATGAAGAAAGTATAGATGATGATGAAGAATCTGAAGAGCCTGTTAAACCAACAAAAAAAACAAAAAAATGATATTCTTTTGTTAAACCCATAAAAACATATAAAATGCCGCCAATATTCATTTCAATATTCCATCCTATATTAATTTATCAACATTGTTGATACCAAACTATTTACAAATTTCATCCCTATGTTCATTTAAATAAGGCGCCTATTTTGGATAATCCAAATTTATATTACTAAAACATAATGGATTTCTAATTATTTTCTCTCCATTCTCAAGTTCTATTACCATATTCAATGATTTTGAATGTTAACTATCTAAACATTATCCTACTGATTTTACTTCTCCTACTGGAATCTTATTCTTTTTCATTTCATTTATTAAATTTTCAACATCCCAATTCTCTAATGCTTCTTCTATAATTCTCTTTAATTTCTCACTATTCTAAACTCTACCTTTATTCTCTTTATATTTTTCATCATTTATTAAATGATTAAGATTCAAAATCTTACATAAAGATTAGAATTAATTATCTTAAGCTACTCCTATTACAATATATTTGTTTTTTATTTTAAAAGTTCCATAAGGAGAAATTGATGGATGTTAATTACCCATTCTATGCATATCCTTCTATCCATTTAAATACATTCCACTTACATTTACAAGACTAGCTATTGCACTCTCATATAAAGATGTCTAAATATGACATCCTTTATTTGTGTGAATTCTTTGATATAATGCTCCTTATATTCCATTACAAAGATTTAAAGCTGTCAATACATCAATTATAGCAACACCAACTTTCATTGGTTCTCTATCTTTCTCTCCTGTAATATGCATAAAACCAGTTTCTGCTTACATAATATAATCAAATCCTGGTTGATTATTATTTGATCCAAAACCATTAACAGAAGCATATATTAATCTTGGATTTATTTTTGATAATTCATCATAACCTAAACCTAATCGATCCATTACTCCAGAAGTAAAGTTTTCAACTAGAACATCAGATTATTCAACTAATTATTTGATGAATTAATTTCCCTTTTTGAGATCTACACAAATTGATTATTTGCTTCTATTTATTGATAAGAAGTAAGTGCTTTAATTATTAAAGAATGGTGGTCCCCATTTTCTAGTTTCATCTCCTTCAAATGATTCAACCTTTATAACTTGAGCACCTAAATCAGAAAGAAGCATTGTAGCATATGGTCCAACTAATATCCTAGATAAATCTAAAACTTTAAGCTATTTATACATATTCTAAAAATAAAAATATCTTAAATTTCAAACATCCATTAATATCTATACATAAATTGTAAATAAAAATTGTCTTGTTTATAAGAATATAACTTCTAGCAATTATATATTATAGTATAATTATATGTTAAATAATAAAAAGTTTAGAATAGTTTAATTTTATTAATTATATATATATTGAGTTTAAATAAAATAAAAGTTTTCTAATTCTAAAAATATTCTAATATTTATAATAAAAATAATTTATTTTGGATATCAATATAGAGTAATCATATTTATTCTCTATTCTAATTTTTATTTTTATTCATCATCTTTTTATTCTATTGGAATGGAGAACATAAAATTTTGATTAATTTTATTTTTTTTACTACCTACTTTTTATATCCATATTAGATTCTTTATTTCTTAATTTTTTATGTCTCGAAACAATTTCAGAACTGTAATCAAAGAAAAAAATTGCAGTGTTGATGATCCATATAAATATATTAGTTATCCAACTGGATTTCTTATTAAATCTGTTAATAATACTGTTATACTTAAACCTCCGAATAAGATTTCTAAAATAATTCCAAAATAAACTAATAATTATATTTTAAATAATATTTATCTATCTACTACTAAATTAGCTGATTTATTATTAAATTTTTCTTAATATTCATCAGATTAATAACGAAGTTATTAGGTTTTTTAATCTTATAAACTATTATTCATATAACTTAATTGTTTATTATCATTTTTTTATTTTTATTTTGGAGTTAATGTTTCTTATTATTTTCGTTTTTCAGCCATTTATTTCGTTTCTTTCACAGCTTTTATTTATAATTTAATTGTTTCCTAATAAGTTTATCTATCATCATCATTTTCCCATTTGATTTCATTTTATTAATCTTCTTATAAACAACAACTATTCATCTCCTCAATTTGTTATTCTTATTAAAATTAATTTTCAATTTAATTTAAATTGGAATCAGTTTTATTATTATCCTAATTCTTAATTGATTTTAATTATTTTTAACTTTCTTATCTAAAAAAGGCAGAACCACGCATCCCTTTAATAAATGTTCTAGCAAATGAAACAGATTTAATTTTTGTAACTGCTATTTTTGGTTTGACCTCTTCAATCTATTTGATTTCATCTTTAAATTCATTTTTCTAATCTTCAATACTCACTTATCTAGACATTCTGAGATACCTTTACATAGATTCTGGTGATTTACTCATACTATCATTTTAAGGGATTTAATCAATTTAATCAATATTATTCTTTTGCTATTCAAGAAATTATCTTTTACAATTCTAAATTTATTCTTTAATACACTATTAAAGAGATTATCCATAAATCAAAAATTCAAAGATAAAGAAAAAGAAATTGACCAATAGAAATATATAACAGAACATCAAAAAGGCAGGATACTAAACTCCTTTTCTTAGCCCTAGTTTAGTGCATTAAAATTGATACCATTCATGGTACTGACTGTAATCTACACCAAGAAGACTATGAAAAGTCTTAATTTCAATATTTCCTTGTAATATTTGAAGATGAATTTCCTCTCCTCTTTATTTTAATATACATTGAATGAGATTTCATCATACATTGTATACCACACTATCAATAGACATCCATATATATAAAATAATAATGTGTAAACCACTTCTGAAAGTAATCTCTCAATTACTATTGTCTTCCCTTTCTAATATAGGTTTACCATCTTTTATTTACATAAATTTCAAATGGATCCAGAATTAGCCAAATCAGTTTACAAGTTGATAATATTATTGTTAGAACAAGTATGTAATTCTAAGGTGACCCAATTAAAGCATAGCCATACTATAAACAACTACAATTTGTTCAGACCAATTACGTATAATAAGATGGAATTTTGGATGTCTTTAAAGAGGCTTAGAATTGACGAATTGTTATAAAGAGTATAAAAACAAAAGCAGCACAGTATACACCCTAGAAGGTGTAATAAGGAGCTATGTAAAGATCTTATAAATTGTCAAAGCATTCATCACCAAATGCACCTATATCACAACGACATTTCCCATCAATCACTATTCCTTTGTCACAACACTCAATCTCACATTAATACATTATAAATTTATAATGTAAAATATTTAAGACTCTTTTTTTAATGTTCTTATATATATAATATTATATATCTTATACATTTCTTACACATTTCCATTTCTAAAGTAATAATTAATCTAAAAAAATAACAAACACATTTTTCAAATTTAATAAATGATTGAAGAAGAAGATGTAATTAATACTTCATAGTTCAATAAAATCATATAAATTTCTTATATGGGTGGTAAATTGTCAAAATTATAGCTATAATAAATGAATTTAGAGAAAATTATAAATCAATGTATTATCTTCATATAGGATGGAGCTTCATTTAGAGAATGTACTAATTATTTACATGGATTGGCTATGGTTTATTTAAAATAATATTAGCTTCTAAGATAAGAAATTCTTAGTCTACAGAATTCTATGATGAATAAAGAAAACTTCTTTGAAGTAGAAAAAAAAGATGCGCGTTCAAAAAATAAGTAAACAAAATCAAGATAAAACTAATAAAAAGAAGCTATCACTGAATTACAAGAACATTCTAATAGTTCAAGAGACAATCCAAGAAACATAGCAAGTGCTGAACGTTTGTAATTAGATTCTTAGAAAACACCATTTGATATTAATCTATATTTAAGAAAGGAAGACTCAGATAGTTCAAATGGTTTTGGAACTGCCAACTTTATTCTTAAAGATGTTTAATCTATTGAAAAATAATCTTTAAAAGAAATCTTAAATAATAGAAGAAATTAAAAAGAATTATCCTAAGCCTCTTCAAAAGAAATTCCATTACATCCTTAAATTATTATAAATGATGCAGATAATGAAATATAAGAGGAATAGTTTTAATTTCAAAATGAATATGAGAATGATGAAATAATGGATACTAGGGTTGAAGTGAGACATGGAAATATTATGAAAGCTTTAGAAGAATTTGGAATTAGTTTTGATTAAAATTAATAAGCAATGAATCAAACTAAATTAACAGATAAGAGTAAAAGAAATACTAAAAAATAATAAACAACATTATCTAAATAATTAGATCATTAAGATAAAGATAGAGTACTTTAAGAAAATTATTAAAAAAATTTAGAAGAATTTATAAAATATCAAGATAAAATGGATGATCTTTAAATGAAAATGGATCTTATGAATCTTTAACCTGAATTTTGGTCTAAATAAGATGATTTAATTCATATGATTAATCAATATGAAATACCCCTTAATTAAACTATAATTAATAAGTAAATCATAAGATTATTTATATAGTAAAAATTAGCCACTCTCTTCTTATTCAAAAATGTAAGGTATGACAACAATTGAGAACTCTAATAATTAATTTTAAGATATCCATAGTTTTGATTATTAATAGGAAATATCTGAATTTTAATCTATGGATTCTAATAGAAATTCAAAAAGTATAGATATCAATAGCAATGAATATCACTTATATAAGAGATTAATTTAAGATTTAAGAAATGAATTTTCTAAAGAAAATGTTATTAGTTCAATAAATGTTATAATTTATTTTAATTATCTTTTTAGTATTTTAAGTTTAGATAAGAAGAAAATAAAGCAAAGAGCTTTTATGATTTATTATTGATGAGTCGCCTTGGCTTATGTTAAATTAAAAAGGAACAGTAAGTTGGAAAATATACAAATATGTTAATAGAATTATGATATTATTATATACATTTTTATTAATTATAATCATTTTTATATGTTTAATAATGTATTATATTTCAGCTTAAATTATAGGACTAATTGAATTTATAACTAAGATTACTGAATATAATTAGTAGTAAATAAATGGTTAAATAATTAGGAATTAATTAAATTTATAAAAATAAACAAATAGGGTATTTTTATAATTATGAAGGAATGTCGATAGAATTGGAACTAATAAGTAATTCTTATAAATAATTTCTAGGAAGATTAATAATTATAAGAATTACATCAAATTTATGGTGAATAGTGGAAAAAGATAGCAGAATTGCTACATTTATCACATAAATCATAAGGTAAGATAAGAAGTGCAGCTGCTTGTAGAGAAAGATATCAAAATATTCTAAAACCTACTTTAAATAAAAATCAATGGACAAGAGAAGAGGAAATAAAATTGTTTTCTCTATAAAAATTATATGGTAATTGCTGGACTAAAATTACAGAAAAGATGAAAGATCGTTCAGAATTAATTTGTAAAAACTATTTCTATGCAACAATCAGGAGAGTATTGAGAAGATTGTGTAAGTAGGTTGGCATTATAAAACGTAATTGTAAATATTTAATGATTAAGCTTCTTTAATGTTAAAATCCATAAAGCCAAGTGTCTTAATGAGTATATATATGGAAAACAATCAAGAAATCTAATTGGTTTTTAAAGAGGAAGTTCGTTGTTAATTAAACTAATTGATAACTAAATATTAGTTCATTCAAAAAGAAGAAAATATTAAAATAGATAATGAAGAAATTCAAAATATGCGATAACTAATTCAAGAATTAGTTAATGCTAAGTAATGATTTAAAATATTAGTTAGTAGTTAATATTTAGAGTCAAAAAATGAAGTTCTATTGTTAAGAAAAAATAAAACGAATATACTGATGATTAATTAAGATTAGATGTAGATGGAAAAAGAAACTATTATTAAAAGAATAAGACTAAAATAAAATATATTTGTGATAAGATAACCAAATTTTAACTATTAAAAATAATAAAAGGAATATATTATGAAAAACAGCTCCATTAATGAAAATAATAATAATTATTCATAATTAATTCCTATTTAATATACATAAATTGATGAAAACTAATTTTAAAACTAAGAGAACTTTAATTTATATTAAACATAAGCATATTTTTAAAATTATATGGCTTATTCTAAATATGTTTCATAATATTATTAATAATTAGTAAATTATTATAGTCCATATTAGTATTAATATAATCAATACAATAATTATCTATTGTAATAAAGATATTGAGAAACAATTTGAATAGATATATATTTATATAATTATTTATAAAATAGCTTAAATTTAAAATATATATTAAAATATGCGACAAAAAAATCAATATAAAATCATGATTAAACTTGAATGTGAACTTATTCTTAATTTTAATCTTTTTATTATAAATCTTATTTTGCAAATATATTAAATATCTATTCTATAGAAGCTTGTTTAATAGAATATTATGAAATTGTTAATTATTATTTATTCTTTTCAAAAGCTGAGAATAATTTTCCAGCTGTTATATTTGAAAGTAATCTAATCCTATAAAATGTTTAGAAATGTTCAATAACTTCATATTATCCAAGTTATTACTAAATAAATTCTAATAATTCTTTTCCATTTGATTCAACAAGTACATACTCTGCTAATGTTTCAACACTTATTCCATGTCTATTTAAATCATTATATAAATGTGATCCTGATTCTTTAGGTTTAATAAAATTCATTAATTAATCTTAATTAATCTTTTATAAAGCATTGAGAGTTGCTGATTAATTTAACTTTATACCTTTGCTTAATCCCATCTTATTAATAATTTAATCAAGTAAATTTACTTATGGTTTTTATAATTTAATTTCAACTTCGTATCCTTAACCATATTTATTTTTAACATGTTAGACAGATCCAAAACATCTTAAATTACCATCTACTTAAATGGCAATTTTAGTTGATAATGCTTCTGCTTCTTCCATTGAATGAGTAGTCAATATAATTGAACTTTATTTTCTTTAAGTGGATATTCTTGATATAACATTCCACATGAATCTTCTAGCTTCTGGATCCATACCAGTAGATGGTTCATCAAGAAATACTATAGGTGGATTACCAATCATAGCAATAGCAACTGATAACTTTCTTTTATTACCACCTGATAATTAACCTGCTTCTACAGATTCAAATCTTTTAAGATCCATTTCAACCATCTTTTTTTCAACTAATTCATTAAGATGTGTATTAGTAATTCCCTTAATTTTAGCAAACAATTCTAAATGTTCACATACTGTAAGATTATCTAATAAAGCATCAAATTATGGACAATATCCAATATTTTTTCTGGCATTTTAAATTTAATCAATAACACTATGTCCAGAAACATAAGCTATTCCAGAAGTTGGTTTTAATTCTCCTGATAATATTTTAAAAGTAGTTGTTTTACCAGCTCCATTAACTCCTAATAAACTAAATACTTCTCCATTTCCTACTGAAAATGATATATTGTCAACAGCAACTTTATGTTATTTTTTTTCTAACATAAATACTTTTCTCAAATTCCTAACTAAAATAGCTTGATCTTAAGGCTTATAATTTTAACATAGTTATTATTCTCTTTCAACATCATCATCAAGTATTTTAGGTTTGTATGGTATGGATGCTTCATTAGATCCCAATTTTTATAATGATCCATTATCTTCAAAGAATTCCAAAATAAATACTATAATCATATATCCAACTCCACTTATTGCAAGTACTAATAAATCTTCACCTGCTACTCTCATTGCAAATGTATTAGGTGGAGTAATTGAATTCTAAAAAATCAATTCAAAGAATTATTTTAAACTTGTTCTAAGCAATCCCAAAGCAAAAGAGAATGAAGGAATTGGTCTAAAGATCCATACTAAATATGATGCAGCATCTCTAGTAGATTCAATTAGGAAAAATACATAAATGACAATACTAATGATTGATCCAAATACAAGATGAATAAAGAAGGATGATAATAATGAATTTCCTGGCACTTTGAAAAAGAAACTCAATACATAACTAAAAGGTATAATAGCCCATCCATAAAGTATAAAGAATAGAAATACTGCTCCATAATTACCATCCAATATTAATGCATCTATATCAAATGCTAATACCATTAATGCACTTACAATTGCAGGTATTAAATGTTTTACTATGTCAATTATCCAATTACTTGCCCAATAAGCTAAAACTGATACACCAGAAACTAATTATTAATGTTTAATATTTATCTCTCTTTCTTTTACAATAAATGATATAATTGAAGCTGGAATAAATGCAAAACCTATTGAAAATATAAAAGCTGATAGATATCCTGCTACTGATTAATCTATACTCTTTTCATTTTAAGTTTATGGGAATGGATAAAATGATAATTAAAGATTGGCTGAAGGTGTATTAGTTACTTTCCTTAGAATTGCTTAATTCATTTGATTTAATAGTAATGGAGAACTTTGAACAAATACTGAATTCTGTAAAAACCAATAGGAATAGGTGGATCCAATAAATTAATTAAAGAAATACCATCCTGGACTTTCTCTTAATTCAAATTAATCAAAATATTCTTTATCTGCTTATTCTAAATCTGTAGATAATTTTGAAATATTCCAATCATCATTTGAAAAATATTGCATCAAATCTTAACCTGCTTAATTTCCTCCCCAAAACAATTATAATTTCATATCATCATAAAGACCTTATGGTGTAATAATAGCTAAATCATCATCTTTCATCCATTTTACAGTCATTATAGCTAATCCAGAAATCACTACTAAAATTGGTACAAATATTTCACAAATTAATCCTCTAATATCCCTTTTGAAAATTCTAAATCTCTTTTACATTAATGCAAATAAATGTAAAAAGAAAGTAGAACAAAATCCTTCAATTTTTTATATATGTAAATCTACATTCTAATTAATTTCATCATTCTTTTCTTTATTTTATACATCATCAACTTATTCATGTCCTGCTCCTATTTTGGCTACTTTTAAGAAAACCTCTTCTAAAGTAGTAATACTTATTCCATAAGTAGCAATATGTAAAGTTTTCAAATTCTTATCTAAATATTCAAAAAGATTTGGGAATTTATCAACTGAATCAATTGGTAATTGCATAACTACTTCAGCAGATACATTAGATAGAATAGTAGCAGAACTAATATATTTCATAACGTTGTCTATGATTGGTTAAGATTCAATTTATGTACTATCTTTAACTAAAGTTAAATTATATCCAACTCCAAATCTATTCTTTAAAAATACACTACTTCCAGAACATAATAATTTACCTTCACCCATTATTCCAATTCTATCCCCTAAGAAATCAGCTTCATCCATAAAATGTGTTGTTAAAACTATAATTCTATTATCTTTGTAATTCTTTAACATTTCCCATATATATCTTCTTGCACTTGTATCCATTCCTGAAGTAGGCTCATCTAAATATACTAATTTTGAATTTCCAATAAATGCAATAGCAACTGATAATCTTCTTTTTTAACCACCTGATAGATTTTTACTTAAATAATCTGTTTTATCAGTCAAATCAACATCAGCTATTATTTTAGTTATTTAATCTTATATTTCACTTGATTTAATTCCTTTAAATTATGCAAACAATTCCAAATGTTCTTTTACTGTTAGATTATCAAATAGAATATCATGTTGTGGACACACTCCCATAATTTTTCTTAATTCTGATAATTAAGTTTTTACATCAAAACCATAACCAACAACATCTCCTTTTGTAATTTCCAATAATCCTGTAAGCATTGAAATTGTTGATGTCTTACCAGCTCCATTATGTCCTAATAATGCAAATATCTATCCTTAATACATGGATAAATTTAGATTACTCACTGCCTATTTACCATTTGGATATGTTCTACATAATCCTTTAATAATGAGGGCCTCATTTTTTTATTCTTATTCTTTCAAAGCTTATTCTACTTCTTCAAATTTATCATCATGAGTATTCATTCTTTCAATTGACATGGATTTATGGCTTACTCTATCTGTTCTGTTTTTCTCCCAAATCCAACTAATAAAGAATAATGGATGTTTCTTAACACCCCATTCATTTGGAAATACTTAATCTAAATATATAGCTAAAATCAAATAAGCAATAATATTAATGATATGCCAAGTCCAAGCTATTGATATACTATAATTATTTATAGTTGTTGTCAAATTGGATCCATCAAATCCATTTCCTTATGATTCCATAAGAGTAATCACACCAAATGAAAATGCTAATGAAGCTTAACTTGAAAATGACACTCCCCAATATTAACTTCTAGTTGGAATAGCATTACCAGGTACCAAATTTAACATTAAAAACATTAGTAAATACCAAACAATTGAAACTATTAATCCTGTCAATGCTTATGAGAAAAACACTGATAAAAAAAGTGATTACACTATAAGAACTAGACAAAATAAGTAGTAATTTAGAAATACAAATCCCCAACTAGACTCTGGTAATATCATGCTTTCTAAAATAATATATTTTATGATCATACTTAAAATAGCTGTTGCCAATGCTGATATGATTCCATAAATTAACAAGTACTGAATTATCCAAGACAAATAAAATTATGTATTGCTTAATCCCATAATCTTCATTCCTTCTCTCAACTTCTTCTCTTTTTCATATATAATACCATGTGTCATTCTTAAAAATACAATCATCAAAGGTAATGCAAGATAGATTCCATATGCTCCATTTACAAAATCAGGAAATTTATCTTAAATGTGATCTCTTGATCTAACATGACTAAGAGTGGGTTCTATAGTTACGGATGTATCATATTTTTGAATAATTAAATTATCAATCCAATTTTAAATAGTTAAAAATCCATTGTCATAAAATAAATATGTAATTTCTTGATCCTCACTAAGAATATATTAACAAATATATACTATTTAAATGAATTAATCTTATCCTTTCTATTCAAGGGATATTCTATGTAATCTGTTGTATCTGAAGTATTAAATCTTAAAGAATAACTAAAATTCTTTAGATTAAAATCATCTGTTTCAAACATTATTGCCAAACAGAGTCCTTTTGTTTATTCTAGTTTATTATATCCTTCTGATCTCACATAATTGTCGATTTCATCATTATTTTTGAACCACTTCACTTAGTATCCATAATAATCAACAAAGTAAGTTGATAATTTTTAAGCCACTTCATTCTCTTCTGGTCCAATACCGATTAATCCATTTCTGTATGAAGCTCCTTAATTATCTCTATTATCTATACAATTTCTAAGATATAATTAAGTATTTACTTTAATTAAGGCAGTGATTTCAACAATAATTCAGTGTCTTGATTAGGATTCAATGGAAAATTATTCAAGTTTGGTGCTAAAATACGAGGGAGATCTGCATCTTTGTTGAATTTTAAGTAAGATGATTCAGGAATATCATCAATTTCAACTTAGACTCTAGTCTTCAACATAAATAATTACCTGATTGTTAACAATAATCCAATGAAAAATAAAGGAAGCAAGATTTCACAAACTGAGCAACAACAATTCCTCTTCCACAATATATAGTTCTTTTTAAGTAGGGCTGTTAAGTGAGACATGATTAAGTAATTTTATTTAATACAGATTTCTATAAAATCAAACTCTTAAATAGGAGCATTCTATAAAAAAATTTACTTTTTATAGAACAATTTAATTATTCACTAAAAATAGTTTATTCAATAAAACAAAAAATGCGTAATAATATGTAATTATTCATTAATTAATAATAAAATTATTCAATTACAAAATAATTAAAACTTTAATCCATATTTTACAAAAGATTCTCAGTCGAAATCAAAATCTCTCTCCATAAGGTCATCTATAAACTGTTCCCATTAAATAATTCAAGATTTTTAAGCGAATTCTGAATGATAATTTAGATTATAGATTTAACTGATTAGTATTCAAATTTGATATAAACCTATTCATTATATATATTACCATTAGAGAATACAAATTTTACTATATTTGATTATATGAAGTAAAAATAAATTTAAGAATATTTATATTACTATTTATAAAATAATTGGGGGAATTTAATAAAAATTGAATTTTTTTTTTTAATAAAAAAGAATGGGGGTGGTATATAATCTTGGTAACTCTTAACTAAATTTGAATTTTTTATTTATTTTTTGAGATGAGCAGCAGAGACGAATTGCTTTATATGGCCAGACTCACAGAGTAAACAGAGAGATTTGAGGACATGGTTAACTACATCAAACAATTAGTTAGTGTAGGACAAGAATTGTCAGTAGAGGAGAGAAACTTGCTCTCTGTTGCTTATAAAAACAGCATTGGAGGAAGAAGAACAGCATGGAGAGTCCTTTCTAGTATTGAGAACAAGGAAGAAGGAAAGGTATAGAAATCTCACATTTTATTAATTCAAAAACTTATTCCTTATATTAAATCATCTTTATATCATTATTTTAGGCTCAAACAAATCCAGCAAGTCAAAGAAACTTAACTTTAATTAGAGCTTACAAGAAAAAAATTGAATAAGAATTGAATGGATTTTGCAATGATGTGCTTAACCTCATAGACACTTCACTCATCAGAACAGCTACTAATTCAGAAGCTAAAGTCTTCTATTTCAAGATGAAAGGAGACTATCATAGATATATCTCAGAATATTCAAGCGGAGACCAACATAAACATGCTGCTGATGGAGCATTAGAAGCTTACTAACAAGCTTCAAATGTTGCTAATTCAGAGCTCAAAACCACAAATCCAATTAGATTAGGTCTTGCTCTCAACTTCTCAGTTTTCTACTATGAAGTCTTGAATGACCCAACAAAGGCATGCAGCTTAGCTAAACAAGTATCTATATTTTCAAAATATCTTAAAGGCTTTCGATGATGCTATTGCTGATATCGAATAAATCGAAGAATCATAATATAAGGATGCCACCACAATTATGCAATTAATTAGAGACAACCTCACTCTTTGGACTTCTGAATTAGAAGATGAAGAAGGACCCAAATGATAGAGGTATATGATATATATATATATATAAAATATAAAAATATATAAACAAACATCATTAAATTAACCTAACATTTTATCCTAAAGGTAGATTCTTTAAACAAAGCCTAACTAAAATTTTGGTCTAGTAATTTTTATAAAGTACAATTTATTATATAAAATAATTTATTAAATCTTTTTTGTTCTTGGTTAGACAATATAATGAATATATAGAATTCTTCAAATCTTAGATTAATTTATGATTCATCTTGTAATTGTATTATATATATTTTTTTTGATAATTAACCATTAGAGATTAATATTTTTTAATTTTGATTTTGATATATTTGTTAGAATTTCTTAATATATCAAATATATATTTTAAGCTAAAGAAATTATTTCAAAAAAGAGATCTTCAATAATGATAAAAATTAATTTAATAGTATTGTTGTTGTTACATTTTAAGAAATATAGTATACCAAAATATAATTAAAAAATTATATAAACAAATTATAAAAAATAATAATAGAAATCATGAATGCATGTAAAAACAAATTGGAATAGATAAATCACCAACATTTTAAATGGTTATTTATTTTTTAATAATATTTAAAGTATTTGGTTTGAGTATTCTTTAAGTATGAGTAGATGTACATAATATATTATTATATTAATGTCTAATTGCAAATTTTAATTCAGAATTTTAGTTTAGAATTAATTAAATAGATTAATTTTGTTATAATCTAATTATGAAGGCAAATCCTTATTTTAAATATCTATATTTTGTAATATAATTTACTATATTGTGATTTGTTAGATATTTATTAAGTTCCTATGTTATCTCTTTTTTTTAATAATTAATTAGATCACTTAAAGATTCATTCATTTGAATTTCTGAGATTGAAGATTCAAATAAATGTATTGGATTAATGAGTTTTTCAATATCTAAATTAGATATTTCTTAAAATGAATTAATTTCATTGATGATCTCCATTTTAGATTCTTCCTATTATTACTTTGCTGGAGTTTATAGACATGAGGCAGTAAGGATTTGTTAATTAAAAACATCTTTTTATTGATGTTCAAGTATAATTTGATATAGATTTTTGGATCTTGGTCTCAACCAAGTTGTAGTATATTGATATTCTGTTGACTTCATAAATTATAAAAAATAATCAATCATTTAGTAATGCCATTCTTACATTATTTCTACAGGATGGACATAAAGGTTTTGCATTTAGCCATTCATCGATACAAGTATCATGAAAATAATGATTACATTTAGGCAGTTATACTATAATTTCCATCTATTCTAATTAACATAAACAGATAGGACAGTCTTCTTGTTATGGTACTTGATATTCAATCCATGGTTTTCTAGTTAACTTTAATAGTTCTTCTGGAGATAATCCTCGGTTAACTATAGGGAAATCTCCTCTGATAAGTCCAAAAATCACAATAAGAACAAATATGATAATAATGCAAAAAGAAAGAGCATAACAAAGTGCATTGCAGAGTAAAAACAAATCGAAAACCCATTCACAAATCTATTAATTGTGTATTGTACTATAATGTAGATTGATCCGGTGGCAGATTAGGCTTGGAATGAATTAACAACCTTTACTGTTGCTAAGAAAATTGTCATTTCATATTCAAATCTACTTTTCTGTTTATAGAATCTACATAAAATAAATATAAGACCTATAAAATGCAAAACAATTTTCAATTCTTACAATTAACAACACATTAATGCTCATTAATATTCTTGCCTAATTAGCATTCAGATTAGGCCATTCATAAATAATAAATGAAGTAAAGAGGATAGGTAATACATATTTGAAAATTCCTTTTATTAAAAATCTTATGATCTTGAATATCATTCTCAAAGTTGTTTTGATATCGAATTTCCTAATTTATTTTTTAATTTAAAGAAATTCATTAAGGAATTAGAAACCAATAATTTTATATTATATTTATATATAATTAATCTAATCTTATAAATAATATTTAGAAAACATAAAAATACTAAAAAATATATCATTCTGGCATCAATTATTTTTCTTTTTTATTCATCATTAATGGTTTTTTTATTTTATTTTGATATAATAATCCAAGTTAAAATACTCCAAACATAATTCCTAGAGTAATTACACTTATAATATATGAAATGCCATTTCGCCAATTGATTCCTGGATAGATTTAAATTCCTGTCACTAAAACGTAGAACATATTTACTATTAAATAAATAATTGCAATCACTATCAATACAATAGATTATCTATATTATAATATTATTTTATACTTCAATTAAAATTAAATATCATTAAGTATAAAGTCCACAAAAATTAGTATACAACTAATACTATGTACATCTATATTTATTAACCATGAATAAATTGTGAGATCATTCTCTTAAGGAAATATATAACTCCAATAAATAACCATAATAGGTAATTCAAAGCAAAAAGCAACAATAAATAAAATATGACACAATTTCCACAAACTCTAATCAAAAAATTATTTATTAAACTTATAAAATGACACATTCTCAATACTAACTAATCCAAAATAAAAATATGTAGTATAACCTCCCCATAAAGTTAAATAGAGAAAATTTTGTGAAAATGTAGGAGCCACAACACTTACTTAAATTAAAGCATAAGTCATGAAAATTGAAGCAAATAATCTAAATATCATTAAGTATTTAAATTAAACTCTGTGAGATTAATTCATTTCATTTACAATTCCTTCATATAGAAGTTGTTCTATTTATTTCATTTAATAAAATTATATATTAAATCTAATATTAATCAATCAAAACTTCTCTATCTGATTAACATATGATATTTAGGAACCATAGTCGATAATGTTTTATCTTCTTCAATACAATCATCATCCATTTCAAAATAATCAATTTAAGATTAAATTAACTTTTTGAAGTATTAAGATTCATTTTAATTTTGATTTTATAAGATTGGAGAATCACAATAACTTCCCTTTTAGTTCCATAAGGGAGTACTGCTTTTAATAAGGTTATCTTAATTTTTACAAATTACCATAGACGGAATTTGATTTATTGGTAGATTACAAAATGTTTCAGTTTTTGGATTAGTAAACCATTCATGTAGAAGAACTTCTTCTGCTGAAGGTCTAAGAGAGATATCTTCTTCTAAAAGTAATTTAACTAAATTCTAGGCTTATTCACTAATATTTTTATCGTTAAGTTTATCATAATCAATTCGACATAAATAGTTACTAGTTACTAATTCTTCACTATTTTCATAATTAGTAAATGGCATTTATCCAGTAAGTAGAATAAATAATATTACACCTGCTGAAAATATGTCTACCTTATGATTATAAATATGATCCTTTAAAACTTCTGGGGCTACATAACCAACTGTACCACATCTTTAGAATAAGTAAATATCATTATCATTGTAAATATCAGAAAGGCCGAAATCTGCAATGACAATATCTATCATATTAGATTTTGATCTAAAAATCAAATTTTCTGGTTTAATGTCTCTATGGATGATATTTTTAGAGTGTAAATATTTTAAGGAGTTAAATAGATTATACATTAGATTCTAAACAATATGCTCAGAATATTAATCTAAAGAGCACTATACCTTTTTAAAAAGATCACCTCCTTATAAGTGATCTATAATTAAATATACTTTTTCAAAGTCTTCAAAAACTTCATGAAGTTGAATTACATTTTCATGATTGAGTTTTCTCATTATATCTATCTCTAAAATTAAGCTTTCCTAAAGATTAATCATATATTACCACTCCTTTCTCCTTTTATATTATTTTTTCTTTTTTAAAAATTTTGACAGCAAAAATGTTTGAATCTTATTTTCTCTATATTTTATACACTTTAGCATGGGATCCTTATCCTATCAGTTTGAGTATCTTATAATGTTTCTAAAAGTGTCTTTGGATTGTGTATTTAGCCATGTAAGTTTTCCACTTTTAAATTACTCGTTATTCACCGAACAATTATAAAAATTCGTTTTTTCCTGACAATTACAAGCCTTAAACCTATGGATGAAATAAAATTATTACTTAGTTATGGGTTACTCTCTTTAAGTACAGATTACTCATATTAACATAACAATTATTTGACACTAAGTATTAATTAACTAACTAGTATTAAGGTCTGCCTACAAATTCATCAAACTGATCCTTTATGTAGATTGGATTATCATTAAAAGATTGTCGTAATTGGTGATCAATCTATGAGTAAGTAGGTTAGCCTTAATTCCACAAAGAACTCATTCTTGTTGGGTATTGTTCAAAGATTGAATTGTCAAAAGAATTCATAATAAAAGAATAATATTAATTTTTAGAAATAGAGTGCTTCAAATATTTATAGACAGAATTAAGCAATGTTAAGATTTTTTAAATTCTTTTATATATGAAAATTTATATTAAATTAATTTACAAACTATTTATTTTCTCAAAAGAGTTTTGCTAATAAATATAATACTTGTTGATGTAATTTTTTATTTATCATATCAGAACATTTTTATATGGATTTTGAGAAGTTTTTAATATTTTCATATTCATAATTAAAAGATAATTTTTTTAATTTAATTTTAAAATTAAAACATTATAATATATTATTTGATTATATTTAAGATAAATTTGAACAAAAGATTATTGATTGAAATAATACACAAATATATTAGCATTCCTGAATAAAAATGCCTTTTTTGTAAAATCAATTATAAATCAGTAATATTAATAATAAAATTATATATAAATATTTATAAAAGCTATTATTAAATTTGCATGTTAATTATAGATAAAATTGATTTGTCTTTAGAAAAATCAAGTAGTATTGGAAAAAATAATTTGAGGCAGAAGAATCTAAATAAAAATCCTAGAATTTTGAATTAATTTAATTAAGAAGTTAATTTAATGAGAGTTTAGATTAAGAAATGACTATAGAGTAAAGTTATAATTAAAATTATATTGAATGACTAAATTCACCATCATATAATGATATTAAAACAATTGGAATCATCAAAGTAATTAATAAAAATATCAAAAACTTAAGNAGCAAAAATGTTTGAATCTTATTTTCTCTATATTTTATACACTTTAGCATGGGATCCTTATCCTATCAGTTTGAGTATCTTATAATGTTTCTAAAAGTGTCTTTGGATTGTGTATTTAGCCATGTAAGTTTTCCACTTTTAAATTACTCGTTATTCACCGAACAATTATAAAAATTCGTTTTTTCCTGACAATTACAAGCCTTAAACCTATGGATGAAATAAAATTATTACTTAGTTATGGGTTACTCTCTTTAAGTACAGATTACTCATATTAACATAACAATTATTTGACACTAAGTATTAATTAACTAACTAGTATTAAGGTCTGCCTACAAATTCATCAAACTGATCCTTTATGTAGATTGGATTATCATTAAAAGATTGTCGTAATTGGTGATCAATCTATGAGTAAGTAGGTTAGCCTTAATTCCACAAAGAACTCATTCTTGTTGGGTATTGTTCAAAGATTGAATTGTCAAAAGAATTCATAATAAAAGAATAATATTAATTTTTAGAAATAGAGTGCTTCAAATATTTATAGACAGAATTAAGCAATGTTAAGATTTTTTAAATTCTTTTATATATGAAAATTTATATTAAATTAATTTACAAACTATTTATTTTCTCAAAAGAGTTTTGCTAATAAATATAATACTTGTTGATGTAATTTTTTATTTATCATATCAGAACATTTTTATATGGATTTTGAGAAGTTTTTAATATTTTCATATTCATAATTAAAAGATAATTTTTTTAATTTAATTTTAAAATTAAAACATTATAATATATTATTTGATTATATTTAAGATAAATTTGAACAAAAGATTATTGATTGAAATAATACACAAATATATTAGCATTCCTGAATAAAAATGCCTTTTTTGTAAAATCAATTATAAATCAGTAATATTAATAATAAAATTATATATAAATATTTATAAAAGCTATTATTAAATTTGCATGTTAATTATAGATAAAATTGATTTGTCTTTAGAAAAATCAAGTAGTATTGGAAAAAATAATTTGAGGCAGAAGAATCTAAATAAAAATCCTAGAATTTTGAATTAATTTAATTAAGAAGTTAATTTAATGAGAGTTTAGATTAAGAAATGACTATAGAGTAAAGTTATAATTAAAATTATATTGAATGACTAAATTCACCATCATATAATGATATTAAAACAATTGGAATCATCAAAGTAATTAATAAAAATATCAAAAACTTAAGTTATAGTAAGAAATTGATGATAATTATTTATAAATATATCCAAAATAAGAACAAAATCTGAAAAATTAAGACAATAATAACAAAAATCCACATTTAAGATTAAAGTAAAAAACAAAATAAATAATTAAAGGAGAGTATGAACAATATAAGATTCGAAAATCATCAACCAAAAAAGCTGTATAAGGTAAGAATTGTAATAGAAAACATAATAAAGTGTAACTAAATGAACCAAATAGAATTACTATAACTATAAAAAGAAGAAATGAAAAAGAAAATAATTTTATCATTTAAGAATATAAACCTAAATAATAATAATTGAAATAACAAATAAATACTGTCAAAGAATAAGTTTAAATCACTTATAAAAAATGATAAAAATATTTTATGTTAATTTACTTTTATAGATATATAAAACATATTATATAAAATTAATCACTAAAACTCCTTAAAAAGATTTGGATATAATGTTTTATATTATTCTAAATGAGCTATTGAAAGAGGTGGAACTTCAGGATATTTAGCTGCCAATTTTTGTAACCATTTAGAGTCTGTTGGATCTATTAAAAATTCATAATATAATCTTGCCAAACATAATTCTATTTAAATTAGGGTATTTAATTACTTTTAAAAGCTTCTAATTAAAAATAGACAGCTGCTTGAATTAATTATTTGAGTAAATCACCATTAAATGGATTAACTGGAAGCATTAATTCTTTATCATGTTAATTTAAAAATAATTAATCTGCATTTAAAGCACCTCCCATTATTTTCTATGGTTCATATTTATTATATTCATAATATTTCTTTATGTAATCAAATGCTTTTTAAGTTACACAACTTTGTGGGATTTCAATAATCTTATTTATATTTTGAATAATTTACTTCATCACAATCAGGTTCTTTTTCAAAGATTTCTTAAAAAAAACTGCTTACATTTGCAAACCTTTAATCTATTTATACTACTTCCTTCTCTATTTTTAACTTAATAATTCTTAGCTCTTATTATTGTTGATTCATTAATTAAATGATTAATCGATAAACCCTATTTTAAGAATGCTATCTTTTATTTCCAAAATGTACATAATATTTTGAAATATTATTTAGAAGATGATATTTGTTATGTAATGGACAAAATAAAGGTTAGGAAAATATTTGAAGGCTAAGTTGAATTTGATTAACAAGAAATGGAAATCTTGAAATAATTCGAAGCATATCTAATATCTAAACGCTTTATGCCTAAGTTCTCACTCAATTAATTTTAGGTGGACTGAGCCTTAATTGCTAAGGATGCTTTATGCTACTAAATTTAAGTTTGAAAAGACATATGCAGCTATATAGGCCTATATTTAATGGAGGAATCAAGCATTTCCACTTAAAGAAAATTAGGAAACAACTAAATTCTTAGTAACATATGCTGACATATTATTTAAGTCAAGCGGTTCAATTTATCTTCATGGAAGGGATAATAGATTTAGACCAATAATAGTGGTTAATGCTATTAAATTGGCAGCATAAAAAAATATAGATATCACTTTAGATTCTATGACAATATTTCTTGAACATGTTATAGCAAATTACACATTACCTGGATAAATAGAAAATTGGTAAAATATAAATTCCAATAATTTATAGGGTTGTTGTAATGGATTTAGGAGGCTTGGGAATAACAAGTTTACCAAGATAATAGCTCTAAAGAGTTTTAGATTATCTTTAAAATAACTATCGTTCTAGAATGCATAAATGTTATGTAGTTAATTGTCCTGGTACAATCACCTTTTCTTGGAATATAGTAAAAGGATTTTTAGAAGAAATCACTGTAAGAAAAATCTCATTTGAAAAATCTTCTATTCCAACTGGATTATTTGAACATTGTCATAAATCATAAGTGGAATAAAAATATGGTGGAATATCTTAAAACATTGAAAATAACTTTTGGTATAAAATAGTTTTTATATTTAAGGCCTCCACATGAGATTAGTTAATAATATTTTTTACCAACAGATAATATTACTGATATACTCATATCAAAATAACAATATAATCAACTATATCAATTCGGTAAACTTTCGAAGAATCGTCTTTGTAAGGAACTTCTTGAAGATATAAGATAATCTTTATAAAACACTAATACAGAATAACATTTAGATAAAAAAATGAAAGAAGAGGTACCTGATCCAGAAGAAGAATAATAAGTTATTAATGATCTAATTTAAAATAATTAAGATTTTTACAAACCAAGAATTGAAGAGTTATTTGAAATGCCTCTTTGTGAAACTAAAATCTAATTACCATTCAATTTTATTGCTCATAAAAAAATGCTAAAATATTGAAAAGAAATTATTATATATATATATATTTCTATATTTAAAATAGTAATCATTATCTAATCATTTTGAATCTTAATTTAATGTAAGATATATATTAAAAAATACAAAATGTTTAAGAAGTCTAATATTAAGATAACTTATATGACTTATATATTAAATATTATATATTTCTAACTTAAATCAAATGGGGAATGATTGTTCAAGTGCATGTAATGTATGCAAAAATTCAGAAACTGTTATTGATGCCACTTCGTTTCCTAACGATTTAAAATAATATGAGAACACTAAGAATTTAGATTATACAAATGTTTCTAATTAACAATAATAACAATCACTGTAATAACAGAACTTTAGTTAACTATAACATCAACCTTTAGTGACTGAAGAAGTGCATTCTCCACATCCAGAATAGTTTAGATCAAATTCATAATTACAATAATACTTCTCATAAGCTGACAAATAAGAAACAAATAATTAAAATAATGATTAAAATACATATCCTGAAAGAAGACCACCATTTACATTTAGAAGTGGAGCTATATATGATGGTGAATGGAGAGGCTAAGTCAGAGAAGGTTTTGGACTTTAAATTTGTAATCATTTGATCTGAAACTAGGGCCTGATGGAGCTAGGTATGAGGGATAATGGAAAGATAATAAAGCCTGTGGTTAAGGAAAATTTTGGCATGTGGATGGTGATATTTATGAAGGGGAATGGAAAGAAGATAAGGCCAATGGCTTTGGTGTTTATATACATGTGAATGGAGCTAAATATGAAGGATAATGGAAAGATGATTTATAAGATGGAAATGGAGTTGAAACTTGGGCTGATGGGTCTAAATATGAAGGTAGTTATAAAGAAGGAAAAAAACATGGATTTGGTAGATACACTTGGAATGATGGATCATCTTATGAAGGCAACTGGATTGATAACAAAATCTGTGGAAGAGGAATCTATTGTTGGACAGATGGTAGAGTATGTAATTATTTAATTATAAGAAATATGATGGGGAATGGTTAAATAATAATATGCATGGTAGAGGTGTTTACACATGGAGAGATGGAAGAAGATATGAGGGAGAATATCAATATGATAAGAAGCATGGTTAAGGAATATACATATGGGCAGATGGAAGAAGTATTTATATGTAATATTTTAGAATATGATGGATAATGGGCTTATGGAAAATAAAGTGGATAGGGAAAGTATCATCTTCCTGATGGAACTGTTCGTTTGGGTTTATGGGAAGACGGAAAAAGAATTAAATGGCTAGAAGAAGATGCATCAGTGAATAAAAGTAATCATTAACGTTACTGATCTAATCAATTTATTTTTATTCCATTAAATTTTATAGTATAGATAAAATTCTATTTATAAATAAGATACAAAAGTTTTCTTAAAATTTTATTATTTTACTCTTAAATCATAAGACCTGTGAAGGAATCAAGATCTATTATAAAAGTAATTATGTAGAATTTTTGATATTCTTAATTAAACAATAAATATTATTTTTCAACATTAGTGAGCCTAAATGAAATATGACTCTTACCAATTCATGAATTATTGTCTTCTATCCTAATATTTTTATGAACTTTGTTTAATATACAATTTAAACTCAAATCAACTTAATTTATTTATAACTTAAGGGTCATACTGATTTGAGTCATCCAAATCTTATAGATGAAAAAATCTATTAAAAATTATTTCATCCATAGAATTTCAACTTTAAGTGAAGATCATAAAATAACAGAAGCATAATTATCGTTCCCTTTTTTAAACATTTTCTCAAATAATTTCAACTTATGTGATACTTTTATTTATGATCATAGACTTTTAATTAAGAATTTATTCGTCTCTCATTAGATTTTAGTTAAGGTTTATTGTTAAAAATGAAAGATAATTATATATTTAACATTCAAAATTAGACTTTGATTTTGTAATTGAATCTACGGAATTAATTTTTAACAATTAAATAATTTAAAAAATAAATTCATCTTAATTCATGCAAGATTAGTTAAAATTAAAAAAATTTGAGCAAGATAAAGTCTTTAAATATTCTAGGAATATCATGGATTTTGGTCTTTTCGAAAATATGGTAGATAGAGAAGATATTATTTCCTGATAGTTCTGTTTTATGGGTATATGAATAGATTATAAAAAGAACTAGATAATTATAAGAAGATACATTAATGAATCTTAAGATTTAAGTCATCAATTTATTTCTAATATAATTTGTTTTAAATTTTACAATATATAGAAATTTAATTAATTATTTTAGTTTGAAAAAATACAATATTATCTTCAACTTTTCATTATTAAAACGCTGATTTATCTTCAATGATTCTTTTATTAAAATTTCGAATTATTTTTAAATGTATTCCTAAGTTATATGCGTTATTCTTCTATTTTTTAGCTTCTTTCAGTTAATTATTTCAATTTCATTTCTGATTTTTCTAATTCATCTTATAGACATGAATACATGTCTTTTTGAGATTAATCGAATTTCATTTATTGTTATGGCTATTAATTATTAATTTACATTGAATAATTTTGAATTTATGAATTCTTTTACTCATTTGAAGGTATTTTATAAATAAATAAAGGATTTTAGTGTTAAGGTTAAAGAAGTATAGTTTATGATGTCAAAATTTATTAATTTAGATTATACTATCTTGGTGGTGTCAATGAAGTAGGAATTTAATGCAAAAATGATGTTTGAGATTTTGATTATATAGGTATTTAAATTTTCTATTTAATTATTGGGCTTTTGGGTTAGGATACTATATATTGAATTTAATTCGTTCTTATAGGTGAAATATTATGATAGTTAACATTTCTTGAATCAAATATTTATTTTTTTCTTACAGTTTAGATTAAGGATGGATATTGTAGATAATCTTTAGGGTATTAAGATAATTATGACATTTTTTGAGTTATTTAGGGTTTCTTAGGTTTTAAATAGTCTTCATCATTTTCATATACAGGAGAGACAGAGCGCTACATTATTTAACAAATAAATAAATAAAAATATTATTTTATTAATTTATTAACAGATTCAATTTATTTCTTCATTAAATTATTGTCCTATTTTTCTTTATATAAGCATAAAATTAATAAAATTTTGAGATATATTTAAATTCTAAATTAAATGAAGAAAGTCATCTTTCAAATTATTATTCTAAATCAATCTTTCATAAATATTTTTTAATTTTCTTATCTTTTTATTAAACTTGAAGAGACTAATATAGTAGTAGTATTTTATGAAAATCGTTAATATTTTTATAATGCAATAACAATATTCAAAATAAGAAAATTCAAGAGATTTCGAAGAATTTCATAATATTGAAGAGTTCAAAGAATTATTTCTTTTAAATTCAATAAATGATGGATCAAGTTTTTAAAAAGTTTTGAAATTGGGAGGTGATTAAGGGTTGGCAAAAAAATTAAAATCACATCTATTAGTAGAATTGAATATTAATTTAAATAGAAAGGAATAGATTCTGAAGATTAAGTTGTAGAGAATCGAGAGAAGTTTGGAAATAATGATCCAATAGAAAAGGAGCCTTCATCATTATGTGAATTAATTTTAGAATGTTTTGGAGATACAATGTTATAAATTCTGTTGGTAGCTGCTCTAATAAGCACTATAATTGGGATTATAAATGAAGGTATAAAAACAGGATGGACAGAGGGGTATATCTATAATCATATATCTAGAGCAACAATATTTTTAGCTGTTTTTTTAATTGTATCAATAACAGCTGGTAATAATTATTTAAAAGAGAGATAATTTTAATAATTAAGACGTAAATTGGATGATGGAATGGTATAAGTAGTTAGGGGGGGAATAGTTGAAATATCTATTAAAGAAATTGTTGTAGGCGATATATTACAATTTGGTATTGGAGACATTTTTCAAGTTGATGGTATTTGATTAAATAATAAAAATAGGTTTAATGATATAGGGTTCTTAAATAAAAGTAGATGAATCTCCTATGACTGGAGAATCTGATGAAATAAAAAAATTACCATTCAATGAAATGAGTCAATAATAATAGAGTAGCAAAGATCATTATCATTTTAGTCCATTTTTAATCAGTGGTACTAGATGTTTAGATGGAAATGGATATATGTTAGTATTATAAGTAGGATAAAATACAGTATAAGGATAATTAAAATAATTATTAAATTAAGACAATCCCCCTACACCTCTTTAATAAAAATTAGAAGGAGTTGCTGAAAATATAGGAAAATTGGGTACTTTAGTAGCAATATTAACATTTATTGCATTAATGGGACATTTAATTTATGATGTATTTGTTGATCATAAACATGAATTCTTTACATTGTTATCTTTATAACTAATAATTGAAGCTTTTATGATTGGAGTAACAATAATAGTAGTGGCTGTTCCAGAAGGTTTACCATTAGCAGTGACAATAGCATTAGCATATTCAGTTGGGAAAATGAAAGACGAATAAAATTTAGTAAAGAATTTAGCATCATGTGAAATTATGGGTGGTGCAAATAATATATGTAGTGATAAAACAGGAACATTAACATAAAATATAATGTAAGTTACAGCATTATGGATTGAAAATCATACTTACAATAATTAAGAAATAAATATAACATCAAAGATTTCAAAATAATCTATTGAGATTATGTCTGAATCAATCTGTTATAATTCTATAGCAAATCCAACTAAAGATAGAGATACTAATAGATGGATATAAATTGGGAATAAAACTGAATGTGCTTTAATTGAATTAGCTGATAATTTTGGATATAAATATTCAAATTTCAGATAAAATGATAAAATTCTAAGATAAATTCCTTTTAGTAGTAAAAGAAAGAAGATGGTTACTGCTATTTTAAATCCTAAAAATTAAACTATCAGAATATTTAGTAAAGGAGCTTCTGAAATTATTTTAGCTTAATGTTTTAGATATATTTCAACTAATGGTACAGAATTAGTTCTTGATAAAGTGAAAAAAGATGAAATTTTGCATAATGTTATAGAAAATTTTGCATCTCGCTCTCTCAGAACTATAGCAATTGCTTATAAAGATTTAGAACCTTAAAGTTAAGCTATAAAGGGATTTGTAAATGCAAAAGCAAATGTACATTAAATAAATGAAGATGAAATTGATAAAGATTTAACTTTGATTGCAATAGCAGGTATCAAAGATCCAATTAGACCTGATGTTGCTGATTCGATAAGACAATGTACTAAATCTGGTGTGACTGTTAGAATGGTTACAGGAGATAATATAATTACAGCATAGTCTATTGCTCTTGAATGTGGGATTTTGGAGAAGAATAGGGCATAATAAGAATTTGAAGTAATTGAAGGCAAAAAGTTTAGAGATTTAGTAGGAGGATTAATTAGTGCTAAGAATGAAGATGGGAATGAAATAAAAGTAGTTAAAAATATGTAGATCTTCTCAAAGATAAGTAGAGAAATGAAGGTAATGGCTAGAGCATCACCAGAAGATAAATATTTATTGGTTACAGGTTTGATTTAAGAAGGTAATGTTGTTGCAGTAACAGGAGATGGAACAAATGATGCTCCTGCTTTAAAAAAGGCTGATGTTGGATTTGCAATGGGAATTACTGGATCAGATGTAGCAAAAGATGCTGCTGATATAATTTTAATAGATGATAATTTTAGTTCAATTATTACAGGTATAATTTATAATAATATATATACTAGCTATGAAATGGGGTAGAAATATTTATGATTGTATAAGAAAATTCATTTAATTTTAATTGACAGTCAATCTTGTAGCATTATTTATGTCTTTTACAGGTGCTGTAATTTTAAAACAATCTCCACTTAATGCAATTGAAATGCTTTGGGTTAATTTGATTATGGATACTTTTGCTTCTTTAGCTTTAGCTACAGAACCACCATCTATTAAAGTTTTAGATAGATAGCCATATAAAAGGACAGATCAGATTGTATCACCAAAAATGTATAGAACAATTGTAGGTGCAAGTTTGTATCAAATAATTGTTCTTACATTTATATTATTTTTATTGCCAAAATTTATTGATTGTTCTATACCTGAAGAATTGATTGGATAAAAAGTAATAATTTTATTTATATCTATAAAAGTATCCTATGAATGTAGTACAAATGAGTATTTTCTTTTAAGCCTTTGTGTTAATGTAAGTATTTAATTCAATTTCTTGTCGATAATTAGATTATCACACTAAGAATCCTTTTGCTAATTTTTGTAATAATCCTTTATTTTGGATAGTTTAAACTATAACAGTGATTGTATAGATTTTACTAATTTAATATGGAGGAAAATATGTGAAAGTGTCTCATTTAACATTATTTTAACATTTATTATGTGTTGGTTTTGGTATAGGCGGAATGATATTTTCTGTGTTATTTAAATTTATTCCAGAAGAATTATGCTAGAAAATTCATCTCTTTAGAGAAGAAGAAATTAAGACTGAAAAGATGGATGATACATTAACAAGTAAATTAAGAAGAAAATCAACTATGCGTTTACATACTAGTTAAAGAAGTAAACATGATATTGGCAGTTTGAATAAAATGAGTTCAGATAAAATTTGAAGTTATTTAATTATCAAAATTAATAATTTATATATTTTTAGAAGCTCTTTTTTGAAAATAAAGAGAAATTTCTATATTAATATTTATCACTTTTATGATTATATTATTAATAAATACTCTTAAACATAAATATGAATTAGATTTATTACTTAAAATTAGAACATTCAGATATTTAATATACAAATTCTATAATTTGAGTAATTTTAATATTTTAAATAAAACAAAAAATAATGTAAAAGTAATGATACTATAATATTTAAAAGGGAAGTCGTGGAATTTACATTCAAACGCTTTGTTTACAAATACACTTTTATCAATATAATTGTTCTCTTGTTTACATTATATCAATTTCAAGATGCTCCCTTGGCTCTACCTCTTGGTTGCATGATATTAAATGAATTAATAATCTGGATAAAATATTCAAGTGGATAGATTACAGACAATGTCGATCATCTTCTTCACATATTATTTTATGTAAGTTATCTTATTTAATTAGATATACATCACACTTATTTATTATTTAGAGCTAAATTACTATATTTTTAGCAATATATTTATAGTATTGTCTTTCATTTTCAAAATAGCTTGCCATAAAAAAAATGATGAGCAACATGAATATACAACAATTATACGATTAGTATTTTGTATTTATAATATAGAGTAAAATTTTCTATCGATTTTCATAATTGATAGCACTATTTTGTATAACATTAAAAATGAATCAATATGTAGATTGGACATGGTCATAAACTTTTTGGTGGTATTGGATGTTTTTAAGTGGTTTAATTGGATCCACAATAACATTTTTATTGATTTTAATTTCGAAATTAATTAAAATCAACAATAGCACAATAATAAACAACTTTAAAAATGAAAGTATGACATTATAATTCTAATTTAGTTAAAATGCTATTATGGTTATTGTATATTGCATGTTTTAGCAGTCTAATAGCTGGAATCTGGATAGTAAATACATTAAATTTACTTGGAAATACTATAAATATCTAAATAGGAGATATTTTTATGTATATTACAATTTCTCTTAATATCCTCATATTTTGTACAATCTCATATATACTTTTCAATTCAATTGTTGAATTTGTTTTATCAATAAATGAAATTGATTCTAGAGATTCATCTCCTAACCCTACTATCAAAAATACAGATTAATAAATTAAAAAAGAGTTAACAATAACATCAATTTTTATGTAGAAATTATCAAATGCTTATTTCAAATAAATCAAAGATTTAGAAGTAGTTACACTTAAAGATGCAAATTAAAATGAAATATTAACTGAAAGAAATGTGAATAATAATATTATTAAAAAAAATAAAGCCAGTCCCCATAATTCTAATAATAAATGTATTATATGTTGTGAAAAGTCTTCAAATGCAATATTAATGAATTGTG